ATTTTATATTTAAAAAATTTTAATTAATTATACTTAAATTTTTAAAATTTTATTTATTATAATTAAATATTAATTAATTATATAAAAAATTATACTTTAATATTAATTGTAAAAAAAAATAGAGATCCTGCAAAGAATGAAAATAAAAGGTAAAATCTACTTCATTAAAAATTTTTACAAAGATCCCCATCCTTACCATTTACAGGGACAAGAACAGCGACAATAACAGGGACATGGAGGATTCCCCGACCCACGAGGTCCCGTTACCATTCCTAATTTCAAGCACTGGCCCCATATTCTAGATGTAAAGCTGCAGCGTAGAAACAAATAATGCACATCCTTCAATTCACCACCGCACAATGTTTTTGAAAGGACATCTCAATAATTAAAATTTTGCTCTATAAAGATACCGACCCCATACTCTAGCTGTAAAGCTGCAGCATAGAAACAAAAAAATGCACATCCTTCAAATCACCAGTTGACAATGCACATCTAACATCTCTGTATCTTTTAGATGTATTATGCTCATCACATATGTAAGAGACCGACCCCATATTCTAGATGTAACGCTGCAGCGTTGCGTAGGAACAGATAAATTCACCACCAAAAAATGCGCATCTCTATGTACTTTAGATTTATTATACACTTTCAGATTTATTATGCTCATCATATATGTAAGATGTATTTAACTTGTTTCGGGTCTGAAGTAACTTTTGTATTTTAAGGTAATAATATTTGGATTTCTTTTTATCAGAATGTTCATTCTTTAGGTTGTGATTGTTATCTGGAAGGTTTTCCTAACCTGTTTTAAAATATAAAAAAAATTATTTAAATATTAAATTTTTTTTCCAAGACAGTACTTTATTATTAGTGAATCAAAGCTTTCTTCATCTCATTAGTTTTATTTATTAGATTCAATAATCAAGTGTTGAATGTGATGATATATATATATATATATATATATATGAGTAGGAATAAACTTATATTAGTGTAAGTTTCAAAAAATTCTTTAAACTAGTTTTCAACTATATAACTTAGAATTTTAAGGGGTGAGAAAAGAATTTAAATAATGATACAAACTTGTTTGCTTTTATTTATTTATTTATTTAACAATACAAAATTTCAAAATTTTAAATTAAAGGTAAAAAGAGGTTTTTTTAAATAAAAAAATTTTTAAAAAAAACTTATTATTAAAAGTAGAAGAATTAAAATGAGATTCTAACCATTAATAATTAATAATTTAAGTCCACATGATAAATCTCTTACAAGTAATTGGGACTGTACTGGAATGATTAATTAAATGCACAACCCTTTTATATATACAACTCCCCTGTACATGCCATGGCACATAAGCAAGCAGTGCCTCCAATATGGAAGAAGAAGCCATCTCACCAGCAACCGTGGAAAGAATTCAAAAGACGATCTCAAGCCTCCCTACGGACAATGGCTGGAAACATCCACTTCCTTTCTACTTCTACCAAGGCTTTTGGTCCTCCCAATTGTACTTAGAAGGTATCATTCTGGCACAAGAACTCTTCCAGGCTGAACCAAGTGATATCTTCATTTGCAGCCCTCCTAAGAGTGGCACCACTTGGATTAAGGCTCTAACCTTCGCCATTGTGACTCGAACTCGTTTTGAAAATTCCACAAATCCTTTGCTTTCCAAGACTCCCCATGATATTCTCCCTTTCTATGAGAGAATTTTTTCCAAGCGCTGGCCACAGATACTCAGCCAGGGATACCCCTCATTGCTACCCACACTCCTTACTCATGCTTGCCAAAATCTGTCCAAGATTCTAATTGCAAAATTGTTTATGTTTGCAGAGATCCAAAGGATGTATTTGTTTCTCTTTTTCACTTTTATGCCAAACTGAGACTTGTGGAACATGAACCTTTATCCCTTGACGAGGCATTCGAGATATTTTGCGAAGGGAAGTCGCCATTTGGACCATATTGGAACCATGTTTTAGGATATTGGAAGGCAAGTTTGGAACGACCAAAGAAGGTATTGTTCCTCAAATATGAAGATATGATGAAAGATAGTGCCCTTGATGTGAAAAAGATGGCAGAGTTTGTCGGATATCCTTTTTCTCTTGAGGAGGAAGAAGAAGGGATGGTGGAGAAAATAGTAGAGATGTGTAGTTTCGAGTTTCTAAGCAATTTGGAAGTGAACAAAAAAGGAACGGTGGAGAGCTTATTAAAGAGACAAAACAATTTCTTCTTTCGGAAAGGCACGGTTGGGGATTGGAAGAATTATCTTACACTTGAGATGGCAGATCGTCTCAACAAGATAATGGAGCAAAAATTAAGTGGCTCTGGCTTGACCTTGAACGCCTCCTGATCTTCATGCTTGCATGGATCATAAAGACTTAATTACCTTTTGCTTCCTGTACTGATTAGCAAACTAGCGTTTGTAATCAAGTTAATAAGCAGCAAACGTTTTAGTATTTGTGAATTTGGTCTTGGAATTGTAAGTTTTGGTAACTGGAATTCTGATTTTGAACATTGTATCCTAAAACCAAGCAATTAATAAAATTGAATGCGTATTGTTATCAATCAACAATGGCATGTTAATTATCTATCTAGGAATGTATGGTTTTTATTTTATTCCTAACAAATCTAAAAGAGAATGTTGTAGTGCAGTATACCTTACACTGATTGTATCATTTTTAACCGTTGATAGAAGGATGGGATTCTAATATAAGAGGCTGAAGTTCACCTTTATCAATCTGGAATGTGTGTATGATTAAGGGATTAAGGGATTAAGGGGTTGACGTATAGGTAGATTATTTATATAGAGGTCGGAGTTGGGCCTAATGAAGATAATGGACTTAAGTTAGTAAAGCTGATGGGCTTGTTTTGGGTGTGGGAGTGCAGAAGTTGTGTTAGGATGGGCTTTGTAAGGGAGTAGATATACTCCATTCCAGATAAAATTACAAAAAAAAAAAAGAAAAAGAAAAAAAACCAGGCCCATTACCCGTTTAGTTTTTAACAATAATAATAAAAAAAAAATAGTAACTATCAACTTTACCTCCTAAAAGTTAAGAGAAATATCACCTCAAAATTACGTCGTTTTAATAAAATTTTACTGAAAAAAATTAAATTACATTATTTTTAAAGCATGCATTAAGGCATTTTTATTTTTTTTTCTTAATTTTTTGAAAGTAAAATAAACAAATACTAATCTCATATAAAATATAGTTTTTTTATATATAGATACAGATATTAAGGTATTTTAAATTAAAAATTAATTATTTTTAATAAATATATTATATAATTATTAAAATAAAATATATATCAATCAGTATCTTCCGTAAAATTAGCAT